CAGGGGGGCTGCTTCGCATGTCGTCGACCAGGCCATATGGCCCAGAATTGCCCGCAGCATCGAGATCACCCAAACGGTGGACGTCAGTAAGGCCGATGCGATTACTGACGCAGCAAGAAAAGGCATCACCTGCGTGTAGTGTGTGCTCCGTCTCTACCCGTAACCGATTCAGTAGCCTCGCTGTGGAGGATGTTGACGATGATGCTGAATGCTCCGAAGCCAATTTCAAGCGAGATGTTACACCAACTATTGAGGCCCAGGTTACCAGCGTCAATGTGGAAACGGAACATGAGCTCCTGCGTGTAGAAGGCAAAATCAACGGTCGTCGCGCGCTTATGTTAATAGATTCGGGCTCGACCCATGATTTCATTGCCGAACAGTTTGCCAGGAGAGTTAACCTGCCAACCGAAATTGGCTCGGAAAACCTGAATGTCACGCTGGCTGATGGAGCATCAAGCTCGTTTCCCATGGAGACGACCCATGAATTGAAGGTTATCGTAGGTGACTTCAGCGATAACCAAACCTTCACGGTGTTCCCCCTTCATCGCTATGACGCTATATTGGGGAAACCTTGGTTAACGCGTAACAATCCAGACATAAACTTCCGGACGAATGAAGTCAGGTTGAACTCGAATGGTTTGCCTTGTGCGTCGCCCAGTCAAAGCGAACCGACCGCTCCTGTGGAGGCGATGTTCATATCTGGTCGTCAGGCTAGGCATGCCCTTAGGAGTGGAGACGAAGGTGTTCTGGCGTGGGTCAGCGTAGAAGACGGCATTGGCAAGGAACCTCCCGACAAATCCACTCAGAACGAGCACCCAGATCTCAAGGCCATGTTCCGTGACTATGACGATCTTTTCCCGGATGATCTGCCAGCTAGACTCCCACCAGAGAGGTCTGTAGACCACGAAATCCGCCTGGAGGAAGGCTCATCACCCCCATCGCGACCTGCCTATCGCCTGCCCAGGCCAGAAATGGAGGAATTGAAGAAACAGCTCACAGAACTCTTGAAAAAGGGTTTCGTAGAACCAAGTAAGTCCCCCTTTGGTGCACCGGTGTTTTTTGTCAAGAAAGCTGATGGTTCGTTACGCATGGTCTGCGATTGGAGGGAGCTAAACAAGATAACTGTTAAGAACAAGGCGTGCTTGCCCAATGTGGATGATTTATTCGATACCGTACAGGGCGCTAGGTACTTCACGAAACTAGACCTCCGATCAGGGTATAATCAGATTCGCATTCAAGCTGAGGACGTGCCCAAAACCGCGATTAAAACTCCCTTTGGGCATTACCAAATTAGGGTCATGGGATTTGGTCTCACCAATGCACCGGCAACATTTCAATCCATGATGAATACGATTCTTCAACCATATCTGAGGGAGTTCGTAGTCGTGTTCCTAGATGACATACTCATCTTCAGCAAAACGTGGTCGGAGCATATGCAGCATGTCCGGTCGGTATTGAGCGTGCTCCGGGACAACCAGTTATTTTGCAAACGGTCAAAATGTGAATTTGGCGTGGAGAGTGTGCGGTTCCTGGGACATTGCATCGATGGACTGCACATCGCCCCTGACCCAGACAAGATTGCCGCAGTAAAGGTCTGGCCCGCTCCGACTTCCGTCACAGAGGTGAGGCAATTTCTTGGATTTACGAATTATTTTAGGCGATTCATAGATCAATACTCATCGCTCTCTAACAACTTAGAGGAGATAACGGGAAAACATGCACGATTCGAGTGGAACAGCTCTCGGCAACATGCCTTTGAATCGCTAAAGCATGCCTTGTTGAATGCGCCCCTATTGCGGCTGGCTGATGTGAACCGACCATTCAGAGTGGTAACAGATGCAAGCGATTTCGCCTTGGGATGTGTTCTTCTCCAAGAACTAGAGGAAGATGCCTGGCATCCAGTGGCTTATGCTAGCCGAAAATTGTCTGCTGCGGAACAGAATTATACAGCTACAGAAAGGAAACATTGGCCGTAGTGTTTGCGCTAAAGACCTGGCGCATCTACCTCTTTCAACACTTTGAGGTCATTACAGACAACATGGCGGTAGTTTATCTGAAAACAAAGCCAAGCATTACAAAGAGAGAGGCGCGATGGGTTGAATTCCTAGCTGACTATAACTACACAGTCCGTCACAGACCCGGCAGAGAGAACCCTGCAGATCCCCTTTCGCGTCGCCCAGATCTCCATGAGAGTAACCTCGTGGAGAATGCAGTACCACGTTTGAATGCTATTGAGTATGCTTTAGCAATGAATGATGACGTGTCCAATACAATATCAGATGCCTACCAGAGAGACAAAGAGCTAACTCCCATCATAGAAAGATTGAAGCATTCTCTCCGAGATAATTTGCATGATCGCTATTATTGGGACGAATCCACTGATCGCTTGTACCTCAAGGCATCCCCCAATAACCGGTTGTGCATACCACAGTGCGGTGTCCGGTTAAAGCTCATTCAAGAACACCATGAGTGTGCAACGGCTGGCCACCCGGGTCGTGATCGAACGTACTTCCGCCTAGCACGTTTTTTCTACTGGCCCCGAATGGGTCTCGATATCAAGAGATTTGTCAAAACCTGTGATCTCTGCCAGCGAACGAAGGGAGGTCAGCCACGAACAGGCCTTCTCCAGTCACTTCCAATACCTAATAGTCCTTGGCAGGATATCTCAATGGATTTTATTGTTGGATTGCCCCTTACTTCTCGTGGCTTCGACGCAATTTACACCTTTGTGGACCGACTTACGAAATGCGTACATCTTGTTCCAACAAACTCGAAGATTGATGCTAAGGGCAGCGCTCAACTGTGCATTCAAAACGTGTTTCGTCTGCACGGGCTGAGCTCAACCATTGTTTCCGATCGCGATCCACGATTCACTGCAGCTTTTTTCAAAGAAGTATTCTCTCAGCTAGGAACGAAATTGGCATTCAGCACTGCTAACCACCCTCAAACGGATGGTTTGACAGAGAGAGTTAACCGGCAAGTGGGAGATGTTCTAAGAGCATTTGTGAACTTGAGACAGGACAATTGGGATTCGCTTCTACCACTCTGCGAGTTTGCAATAAATAGTTCACAACAGTCATCTGTAGCTAATACACCGTTCTATCTGAACTATGGGTTTGACCCTAAGTCCCCGCCCGAATTCATTCTTACGGGAGGGGAAAGGAGTGATTCGGTCGATTGGCTTCATGAGCAGGAAGCCGCACTAAGGATAGCTCGAGATGCTATGCTCGACGCCCAGGCAAGGCAAGCTCTATACGCAGACCAGACGAGAACGCCCAGTGATTTGAAGGTTGGTGATAGCGTTCTTGCCTACAGAGACTTTCTACTGACCCCGGAAGCTCGTGGCCAGCCCTCTCGGAAGTTGCAACCCAAGTGGTTTGGTCCGTATCGTATCCAGGCTAAGATTGGAGCGAATGCTTTTCGCTTGGAACTACCCCGTGAACTTCGCTGCCATCCCGTGTTTAATGTCACTGCTCTTAAACGCTACGAAGAGAACACGATTCCTGGAAGACACCAACCCCCGCCTCCGCCCTTCACAGATCTAGATGGACACACACGCTATGTTGTCGAAGCCGTTTTGAATCACCGACACCGCAGTGGTGAGCAACACTTCCTGGTGCATTGGAAGGGTTACCCCAGCAGCGAAGCTACGTGGGAGCCCGCTGGCAACCTATGTGATGAGTCTGGTCGGAATATTAAACCGCTGCAGAACTATCTAGCCTCACAACGACAGCAGCCTTGATCTAACTGGGCTGAGCCATATGCATCTCTTAGTTAATAATTATGTTATAGACTGATATAGTTTTGCGTCATCTCCTTGCGAGAGTGATGAAGTTGAGTTGGATTACACTTCAATGTGGTTATGCATGTGCATGAGTGATTATTTAATATTCCCCTTTCCACAATTGCATCTCCTAACTGGATTGTGTTATCTAATAGAACCTTGGGCTTCCTATGGGGCCGGGAGAGTGTAATAGTTTTACCTTGACACTTCTTGCTTGTCTTATGGTAACACCTTGTGTTCCTACTATTCTCACTCCTGCGGTTCTCACCTTTCTTTTGCTTTATAACCTCTGGTTTGAACATCATTCGACGAATTCTCCAATCAATCAAGTCTATACTGTTACAATTACAACCAGTAAAAAGAGTCAGAAATGAAGAGAAAAAAGACTTAAACAAAAAAATAGAAAGTGGAAGTGTCAATGTGGGGAGGTAGGGTGAAGACGAGTAGCCAATTGTTTCATCAGACTTTTCCGTTTGCATCTTTCCCTCAAACCCATGAACAATTGATTGTCATCCGATTTTACGTGCTGGTGTCAATAAAGATGAGAATGAATGCAGTGCTGGCACGCATAGCTGCGACAAGATGGTGGCGTATCCAGTCAACAGACAATGTGTGAATACGAATGGTTCATACTTGTGTCCTTGTCTGGTCGGTTACACCGGGGAACACTGTACTGGTATGTGAATATAGCACTGTACTTGTATCCTTAATTAAAACACTCTCCAAGTCCACTGCAGCGTTTTCTTTCCACTTGTATACACGTCCATGCCCGAGCAAGCTCCAAGCTGTACGACAAGAATACAGTCCTGCTGCCAGTGCGTTATTCTTGTCTTGCCGTTGAGTGCCTGCTCGGTTATGGAGGTGTTTTGTACTGGTAGGAATCACTAACTTGCGAACATTTACCATTTCGATTCCACATCCATGTACATGTAGATGTCCGTGAGGAGATCTACATTCTACATTGAAAGCACGCAGTGCTGTCCGTTTGGTTTTAGCGAATTCAAAAGCAAATATCCCGCAGTGAGTGACTATGCGACCCTCCATTTTGAGGATACCAGGTCATGCAAATGTTATATCCGGTCAAGACCTGATAATCCCAACAAGCCTTAAAAAAGAGCATTGCATTTTTTTTTCCTTTAAAATACATGCTAGGTTTCATATGAAATGTATTTTTAAGTCTTAAGTCCATGTAGCAGTAACGTAACTCTGATGTGGATGGAAAAGTGTGACATACATGTACCTCCAACGACTGTCAATGTGGGATTATTGCCACACTTGGACTCCATCAGATGACTCCTTCCGTGTACCTGCCTACATGTATCCAGCTTTCTTTGAACCAACTCCTTATACCTCCAGCATCAGTGATTTGTAGAACCGATCAGATACTATAACTTGTGTAGACCCCATCATGTGTATGTGTCTTGTTGCTTCACTCCATGTTCCATGCAGCTATTCCCGCTACCGTCATGACAGTGGACACGCCGGCGCCAACTCAGCATGAAGTGTTGAGCGGTCTGACCAGCTCCACTTCACCCAGCATACCGGTGTTTGCTATTGCTGTACCAGTGAGTGTATTCGCTTTAGCAGTGGTCTTTCTCACCATAGTTATCATCATACTGCGAAGACGCAATAGACGTGGTCTACCGATCTTCGACACACTGACCCGACGTCAACCCGAAACGGATAGAGATATACCTATGGAAAAGCGGCACAAAGCACACCACAAGCGTCTGAGTCTTCCAGAAATCCCCCGTGAAGAACCATCCCAAGTTCCGCCACGTAGATCAACATTCGCGGGAGCCACGCAGAGTACAAGTGGACATTCATATGAGCAGGTCATGACATCATGTGTTGCCGATCATTTCAAGCAAGACCACATCAACAAGGAATTATGTGGAGAGGTCTTACTTCAATGTATGAGCAGCGCAGGTGATTCTCAATCAGATGTGGAGCTAAGGAAAGGCCCAGACTATTCGTACATCGACGAAACTGGACCCTTATCCCCCGACGACAACTACATAGATATGCCACCATCCGTTCAAGAAATAGAGCGGAACGAGCACACTACCGGGCAGCCCTGCCATGCAAGCAGCGAAGATGCAAAGGTCATCCACTACCCGAGAGTAAACCTTACAGAAAATCCAGTTAACCTGCAGCCCACCAAACCTTCGCCATCCGCACCAGAAGCCATCCAGCTGTCTCCGTGTGACCTAACTCATAATCTCAGCTACACGACGGTTATTCTACCTTCAATCGAACCTCCTCATAAAGAAAATCACTTCGTTGACAACCCTTGCTATGCAAACCCGATGCCTGTTGTTCACGAGGTTGATGTAAGAGACACGAACTCGGACACGACGTCAGCTCACCCAGGCCTTCGCATGAACCCAAGCTATAGTCTGCCGGATTTAGTTGCTGCCGGGCCGAGCGAGACGCACAGTCGCTCATCGTATGAAGACATGACTGTGACGGCGGCGATAAGAGACGGCAGGATTCCTTCGATTACATTGCCATCTTGCCATCAGATGCTAGCCCCAGCCTCGTACGCTAATACTGCTAAAGCGGAGACATCCAGTGCGCACAGCTATGTGTCTTTGGCAGAGGGTCTCACTGCAAATCACTGCTCTGCGGGAAGTCACACATACGACCGGATACCAACTCCATCACGTAGCGAAGATGCAGTGTCTGCTGATGAAGAGGAGGGAAGATATGTTATACCCAGCCCTAAACCATACAATGTGTCCGATCATCACTTACTACCATCATCGGCCAGTATCGAACGTGCAGTGGACGAGGGCGCTGGAGCACCAGTATGCCATACTAGTGAAGCTGAAGCCAATGTACCTGATATCTGTACTCCCGTCGACACGCCTGTTTCTACGAATGACGGTCGGATTTCATCGTGAATCCTGGTGTTGATAGCCGTGTGACGGAGGCCTCAGCTACATGTACCAGGCGCCCCAATCCATTTCATGTTCGGAATTCTACTCCGGTGCCTGCTGAGGCGGGCGCTTCCTTCAGTGTGCTCGTGACCTCTGCATCAGGTGCAGGTTTACCCGCCGTCTCCTCTACCGCCTGCTTCGAAGCAGACAGCCAAAATATCACGCATTCCAGCACAACACCCGCATGATCAAGGAAACCTCTCGCAGCATGCAATATACAACTGATCAATGCAACTCACTTTAGCGAACGTCAACATGCATGCACATGGAGCCATAACGTTAATTCATCCTTGCATGGGTGATCATTTCCCAGTCAAAGATCCTTCTCATTCTACATGATACATTATCGTCGTACTTGAAGTAATTATAGTCCTCACCCACCCTCAGAATCTGCGCCGATGTTAGTATTGGCGTACAGTATTATTAAACTACCACAATTCATGTATTGCGATACGACTTGTGTATACCTCTCCTATTCCTAAGAGTGCCATCAAGATTAGGTTTCTCTATCTTTCTTACCTGCGTGGTAGTAAAAGTACATATGTTTGCTTATGATTGACACACACGGACAGAAGGATGCGCCGTCAACATCCATGAGCCTTCACAACGTTCCATTAAACTTGACGTGTTTGCAAACATATTCACACAATTCCCTGCATCCTAGTGGCACTTGAAATTGGGCGAGCAAAGCCTTTGTGATCACGACACGACTGCGTATAAGAAACGATCCAGCTCTTTATGTTGCCATATTTGTTGTCATATTTAGCACTTCTGCATGACTAGCAGCAACTGAGCAACTCCTTCACTTTGTTGGAAGTAACAATGATGTCACAGCCAGTGTTCCTACTTGCAAACCAGCAGTACTGTTCGTGCACATAATCATGATGCTAGTAATCGATACACACAGTGGTAGTCATGTACACTGCTCCACATTTTCTTTGTTTACTTTCATATACCCTTGCTTTACGTAATCAAGTAGCGTACTCCACTGTCCGAAGAGTGCTCAATACCCTTGCTTCACTCTTTACCAAACGTATGACATTTTGTCGAATACGAGATCCCTCGACAGGCCTAGAGATTGAGGGGAATCCTTTTTAAAGGGGACCTGGGAGTGGTGAAAGCCCTGGTGAGGACCGGGGTTAACCAAGGTGTGCATGGACCCTGCCTGGGGTCTGCTGGGAGTCTGGGCCTGGATACAACCAACGTGTTACTTTACAAGTGGGAGAACCGGGGATAACCAAGACGGTCTGACCTGCACTCTGGCCCTGTAAAACAAGTGTGGGTACCAGCACGATAGCAACCTATGTCTATGACTATGGTGCCTACATGTACGTCTAGGCTTTCCCCAAATCGGTCGGCCGAATAATTAGCCCGAGCCAGACTTATCGAAAAATCGCTCACCTTTTCGCCGATTTTGGAGGGTTACTTTGAGAATCGCCGAACGTCTACCAAATCTTCCAATATCTCACCAATTTTGAAACCAAAATGCCAACAATTAATTTAGCCGATTTTCCAGTATACATTGTAATTATTCTGATTTTGCAGCTGATTGTCGAACAAATAGCTGATTTTGCAGGCGTACCTGGTGTATTTTAAGCCCAGCGAAAAGCGGAATAAGTGACTGATAGGCGGAAAATGGGCCGAGTTGGGGAAAGCCTACCTACAAGGATGTCTATGGTTATTATGGCAGCACGATTATGTTACTAGAGTTACCTGGTTACTTGGACGCTTTGACTGTTTGAGTCTTACAAGCTACAGCCTACACTGGCTACAGTACTGCACAGTGGAATCCAGTCGCGTCACTCAAGTGCGCGCCGGGCGTTGCGCAGCCCTAGACCTGCAAACACTGCCCATGCCTTCTGTACTAGCCTAGCGCCTGGGCCTGGAAATGATGCAAGGCGCAAACTACAACAGACAAGATTGTAACGTTAGAGGCGCGATCATTGTGGTAGACTTTACAACTTACTTACAAGTCTGGATGCAGCTCTTGGCGGCGTTGGTAAGCCAGCACCAAAGCCACATGACCAGCAACGACCGTACAAGTGAGCTTTTTTGCACTCTGCCACTGGAGTCGAGGTGCTACAGAGTCCCAACACACCATACACCCTCAACTGTCCTTTCCAAGATAGACAGCTCGTCCGTTTCCAGTGCAATGCGAAGGAAGAAAGGACCACCACTCCAGAGCTTGTCTGAGACAATCAGCACAACGCCAACGGGACAATGTTCACTTGTACGTCGTGCGTCCCTAACGTTTGGTTTTGACGAATGTATAGTATAGCACCTGAATGGGACGCCCCAAACAAATACAATTATAGCTGAGATTTTGTCCACTTTGAGCCGGAGTTGTTTTGTTTTGTATTTTGTGCAAGAAGCTAGCACACTCCTAACCCTGAAAACATGACTCCGAAGCCGAGTTGAGTAGTGTAGTCTTCTGTTCCGGTGACTAGACCCGTCGAGGTACATACTGCGCTCCGCACCCCCGGGCGTTCAGCAAGACTGTTGAACATTTTATTTTTACCTTCATGGATGCGAGCGTACACCAGGTACACGCCGGTAGCGGAATGGAGAGAGAAACGTTGTCAGAGCAATTTCGGTTCACAAATTTGCGAATGGACGCACGAACACGGTTCCCAAAACACCTAGCTCTCTGGCGCCGGACGAAAGAGTCTCTCAAGGTGTGGCGGGCACTAGTTACAAGGTAAGCTTTACAATTGTTCCTCCTGTAAAGCGTCCAAATTGTTGTCGTAGTGCCACTGTTGTTTGTTGAATTAATTTTTGACGATAGTGGCGGTGTGTAGAACAGGGCCGTGGCACCGGGACTTCAGCTGGTCCGGCCAAATGGGATAGTTGACCAGAAATACCATTTAGGAGAGAAGAAAACCTCATCTTGCATGGATTGGGTGGTTCTAGTCGACCTATTACGTAACTGTAAAGTCTGGCCACGGCCGGACGTGCCGTACCGGGTGCTGCGAACCTATACAAGCACACGTTGTATTAAAATATTTGTGAAAAGAATGAGTAGTGATCGAAGCAGCTAATTGTTCAACTGAAAAGCTCCATAAATGAGTATGGACTGTGTCAGACTGTCAATCCACTGACCAAGTATGGGTGGAAGTTAGCATAATACTCCACATGGTCATTTGTACTTCTTGTACATAACTTGGCCGGTCCATGGCGCACAGACACACAGTACTGCAGGTCCGTGTCTGTTAGAACTGGGAGAGTCATCATTTCGTTCAAGTGTTGAAATGCCCCCATGACCCAGTAAACTATTGGAAAGCCTGCTGATAGTAATAAATAAATAAGCTTATATCTACATGACCATAATTGTTGGAGCAATTCCAGACACAGATAAAAGTAGTACAAAACCAGGGTTCCTATCAAAGTGACATAGCTGAACGCTGTGCCCTCCTTCACGTTTTGACCACCCCCCCCCCCCCTCCAAAATGAATGCGCAACCCTTCAGAGTGCGAGTGCCAACTTGTAACATGCATGATGAGGACACATCATGTACATGCACATACATGCAGTAGCGCAGCATTGTCTGGGCCATTGCATCATAATCATCACATACCTCTAAAAGCCATATTAACAATGGCTGGTTCCAGTGGCCGGTGAATAAACACATGGAATGTAAGTACAATGGTTGGTCGGTTGCTTACTGGTGTCCGTGAAATTAGCGGCACAAAATGGCGGTAAAATCACAATTTTATGGGTCCGATCAACCCCACCGGCCTTCACTTTTATTCTGGCTAAAACCGTGCAAACGACATTGCCTCTTGGAGCCAAAACACAACAATGCAGTTTGTGTTGGTATGAAAATGAATATCTAAAAAAAAGGCATAGGGGATTCGTTTGGCCTGGTTGTCGTGGAAACACGCCGCTCTGACAGCAGAACATACTGTAGGTCAGCTACAGCAAGTGCCAGCTTCTAGTAGTGCACTGTCATTATTACACAGGGGGATTTACAGTAGATTATGCCAGAGAACTACTGCAGTCACACATCGTGTTGGAGTACCACGGTTATATTGGTAATATAACTCCACGGAAACAACCCAAAAGTATCACAAAAAATGATGCCAAGTTAGTCGAAGTTATTCGCGTCATTTCCTCGTGTCAGAGATGCTTCATCCGATTATTAAATTGAAAAGTTAGTGCCGGAACGTTTAGAGTGCTTATCACAATACAGTCAGACCTCGCTTAACCGCACACATCCGTTTTCCACAAAAAAATGTCCGGATAGGCGAGGAACCGGATAACCGAACACTGGTTATTTTTGATGCACCACGTATGCTGTAAATCTGTAACCAGCTATTTTCTTCCGGATGGGGAGGAATCCGGATAAAAGAGGGCCGGATAAGCGAGGTCTGACTGTAACATGATGAATGATTTCAGCTACAATGCCTCAAAATGCCTCCCGTGCTTTCAAAACGATGGTCATTGATAACATTGCCCGAGTTGGGCCAACGAATTTGTAAAAAAAAACGGCAGAGCTGTTCGGGGAGTTTTTCTTTCATGCAACATAAATCTACTGCACACCTTGTAGTAATTCGGCATCTAGCCTTCGGCAGGGAATTTCGTGTTCTTGAGGCAAATTTTGGCAGATTCTTTTCGAAAAGCAGCGTATATTGTCTGTACTTGTCTAAGCTTGTCGTGGGTAATTGAACTATGCCCTTCTTTATCCATAAGCCAAACAGCTGTGAAGCATACCAAACAAGTTATTCTCGGAGACCCCCTTGATTTAAGCTTCGGCCTTTGGGGAATCCCTCAAATAATAATAATAATAATAATAATAATAATACTAAGTACAAAATTCTGCCGACATTATTGCGCCAGTGGTATAATGAGTATGGAAATGTGTTTTAAAAGCACTCGGGCTATAATTTGACAAGTAGCACGTACCGGTGCATGCATTGAGTTGCCAAAGCCGGCACTGCTATGTGTATATTCCGAACAACATTCGGGTGTGCCTCAATCTTGAAATAACTTATACAAGCCCAAATTTCGAAGATACTTTAGGGCGGAAATTGGCAAAGGAATTGCAAAATTATCACTTGTGCCGTGAAAAAAGATTTCCTTTACAATAATATTGTGGTGTTGAAGGGAATGGGCAAACTTAGCCAGTTGCCAGCCGATTAGAAAACCCAATGGACCCCAAGCAGCATATCTTGGATTTATCCCCCCCCCCCCAAGCCTTCTCTCCCTATCTTTCTGTCTCTCTCCTTCTCTCCCTCTGTCTCTCTCTCTGTGTCTGTCTCTCTCTCTTCTCTCTCTCTCTCTCTCTCTCTCTCTCTCTCTCTCTCTCTCTCTGCCTCTGAGTGTGTCTCTCTCTGTCTTGCTCTCTGCCTAGCTCATTATCCATATCTGTCCTGTCCCTCTCCCTAGGTTTGTATGTAGAAGTGCGTGGGTGCATGTCTTGTCTTCTTCTCCTGTGCCTTTTCCATCACAAGTCCCACAGATTTTGTTCGCTTGTTTGTCATTTTGCTAATGGCTGCCAAGACTATCAACATGTTTCTTGTGTGTTTTCTTTCTATGTGCACAGGAAGACAGCAAGCCAGCCAGCAAGTAGCAAGTCGGCGAAGAAAATTCAAGCGAAGAAAATTCTATATATGCCATCCCGAACCCCGACCACCATCCCCTAGCAGAATAATTACTTATATAACCTACCCTGGCTCTGAGTTTAGCACCTAGACATTGGGCAACCATCCGAACCCTGTCAGACTGCAGCAGTTGGCACAAGTCATTATCACCTTTTATGAAAGAGGGAGAGAGTACAGAAACTCTGTAAGAAGATGGTATGCATTAGTTTTTTTTTTTTTTTTTTTTTTTTTTTTTTTTTTTTTTTTTTTTTTTTTTTTTATTGGGAACACAGCCCTACAAAGAGACATGTGGA